GATCCGGGACGATCCGGGGTGAAAATATTGTTGCAGTCACACTTACCCCGGCAGCATTACGGTAATTCCAAACTAACACCCAGGATGCGCCCGGACCATCTGGGCAGAGCCCAGATGAAGCAACGGTTCAAGCCGGTGCTTCCTCGGTCGTTCCCGGATGATGCCGGCAAAGCCCCGGTTGACGCCGGGAGCCCAGGTCGATCTAGGCAGAGCCCCGGCAGAGCCCAGGACGATCCCGGCAGAGCCCCCGTAAAACCTGGGTGGATTGAAAATGCGCGAAAATGATGACGTGATACATAATTTTCATTTACATGAAGTGTGACTTAAAACACCAAACAAATATCTGAGGCATTAAGAAGCCTTGGTACAACGAAGAGCTTTGTTAGTTTTTCGTCATACACAACCACATTCTAGTATAAATTCTAATACGACTGAAGAAATTGTTGTAATCAGATTGTGAAATAATTGTCGTAATCAGATGGTGAAATTATTGTCGTAATCAGATGGTGAAATAACATAAGCAAGCCAGACTACACTTGACACTCGTAGGGAAGATCTTTCAAGAGGAATGACAGCAACTTTAATAAGTAGAAATCGCAGACGCTCTGTACCTATATCTTCTCCTGGAGTGCAACATATCAGATGCTCCCCGGCACCGTATCAGTTTTTCTACTTGTAATAGAGTTTGTAAGCGAACAGTATGGATCCGGATCAGACTGCGCGGATGCGTAGGCTGGAGGCTGGTCTGGACCTATGCTGGTCGCAAACGCATTACGTTGGTTTTGTCATGGCACGGCTCATATATTGGTATCAGAGACCTAGAAAAAATACTTCTACTTCAAGGACATAAGCATGTTGAAGGATAATGTACAACGTTTTTATTTGCGAATTCCAGCAAGAAAGTAACAATAGGTTATACTTGCTGCAAAAAAATGTTTGAAATTACGTAATATTCATGTCCTTATCATGATAAAACATATTTTAATGACGTAAAATGCATACTCATAAACATTTCCTTACATTTCTCTATTTGGCCATCCCGAATCTAGCCTTCCATTTAAATGACTGTTCCACCTACTTTGCGATCCTGAATGTAACCTTTTATATATGTATTTTAAAATGACTCCTCTCAGTTTCACGAGACTAAGAACTTGACCTAGTTTTTAACAGCTGATTATGATACATACAGCTTCAGTCAGCAAAGCTTTGAGTGGTACTTCAAAACATAGTATATGACTCAAGTTACATTTCATAAAGCAGTCGTGTCATAGATAATCATATCTAATTGTAAACTTTAAATAAAGTATCGTTTTCCGTTTTGTCGTAGCTAATTATCTACTAGTTAATGAAATGACCGTCATTGTATGAATCGTCATTGTGGTGGTTTTTATTCGTAATTATTTTTAAGTTTAATTCAGATGACACAAAACTTTGTGCGTTCGTTTTATAATCGAAACTAAGAATGACGTCACTAAGTCAGAGACATACAGTACTGTATAATGTATATTAAGCACTTGATTTCTTTTAGTCCTCTAAGTCGTCGGATACTTCCAGTGTTTTGAAATTATTTGATTATATGAATTAATAGTCCAGAAGAACGGGACCCTGAATGTAATTCTTATATATAGTATTTTAATGATCAGTTTTCAGATGAGCTTACCTAATTTTAAAATGATTATATACATACGCTCGTGCGGATTTTGCAAACTAGTAAAATCAATTTAAATTTATGCATCGGTCGTGTATCATTTTGTTATACAGTGAACTTAATAAGTTCTTTCCGTTTTGGAGTTATTATCACTGTTAATAAAGAGTCATGTAAAGACGTCGCTATTGTTTGATGTAATTTTATGTCTGTCAATGCAAAAACTTCCTTTTATACTTTGGAGGAAAAATGTGCATAAATAGAATATTATATCGTTTTTAGCTTATTACTGAAGAAATTGAACATGTTGAATAAACTAAATGTTTTTGTCCCAGATGCTCACGTAATATAGTTTTATTCAACTCGTGAAATAAATTCAGTATTGCACTTACACTCATTTAATGTCCTCTATATTTACATAACCAAAATGGTCAAGAAGGGAGCAGCCGCTCGACCAATTTAATTTTGTTAATCCTTATTTACGAATACTAACAATTTATGTGTGTGAAATTATTTTTATAAACAGTTGATTTACAAGAATGATTAATAGTCTGACGATTTACCAAATAAAATGTGTTACGATTCATTTGAAAAAAAATTGGCCCAAAGAAAAATATTTCTGTTTTTACACATTATTGAACTGTTATATTTTAAATTAATGTTTTTAAATTTGAAATTGCAATCCTATAAGGGGCTTTACTGTTTTCAAAATACAATTTCTAATAAACTGCTACGATGACCACATTTAGCCTTTTAAAAAAATATTAATTACTATATGTTTTCTTATTGCTGTCATTTACTAGTATTATCGTTCTATTTCAACATGAAATGTTTTATTCGATTCAAATATATGATAACATTTTGCCTTATTTATGAATTTAGTAATAATTCAAAGCTAAATTTGGAAAGACTCCTTGAAAAAATATGTATCTACAATTGGGTTATAAGATTAAAAATGATATTCTTGTGAAATTTCTTTGGATACAAAGAAACAAAATTATTTAGCTGTATGTGTCAAAATTCCAAGTTAACTATTGTGTTATTGAATAGAGTATATTAAAAACTCTTTGAGTTTTTCACCCAGTTTTAATTAAATATTACCATTGTATGCAAGTACTAGTATTAAAATATGGTGAATGTTTTGAAATTAAATGATGCTTTACAAAAATGTTATGAAGGAATTTCAACAAACTTTGTACAAAGTTTACATTGTAATATATTTTCGTGACATAATGCAAAATTTTGCATTTAAGATATTTGTGCTACAATTTCAGCAGAATATTTGAAAAATAAGAAAGTCATGTGTCGAGCTATGGCAAAGGGGTTATGTTCTAAGGTATTTGCCCCCTTAATCTAGGGGATTCAGGTTCGAGCCTTAATCTAAAAACAAAAATTATGTCAGCAACTATGGGTTAGTTTTAAAGTGGTTGCGGGCTCGAAAGTAGTCGATTATATGAACATCAAAGTAAATAAAACGTTTCACATCGAATGTAAATCAAAAAGGTGTTCCAAGTTGGCGGCCAAAATCTGAGGCCACAGATGGTCTGCACTGTTCGCTATTCAGTTAGTAATTATTTTCATTATTCCGCTAAAATAAAATAAATGGTTTTGTCCAGCTTGAAAGTTGAAGTCGGACAAATACGGTTAAGATATTCAGTGTAGTAATAGTTCAACTTAACCATAACCAGCATCTTTACAATCTTAATAGTACGTATACATTACATGACAAAACCTCCTTTAACAACAGTATTTTTCATAAAACAATTAACCGCTTTGAAAAAAGTGCAATAACCCTCTTACGGTCACTTTGTAGAAGAAGAGAAAAACACTTGAAGACAAGTGTTTGTCACAATGGACATAGACAAATATAAAATAGATCAGCTGGTCGGATGCTTTCACTTTTTGTTTTATTTTTCTGGAAGTTTGTAGGGGATAAATACTTAGATTGGATAAGAATATGCGAGCGCTACCAGGTTTGTGTTGACAATTTTTTCTGAAAATAAAATGTTTGAATATTTTATTTTATTATTTTAAATGTATTATCTAGATTTATATTTTGAACAGAATTTTTTTTTCTTGCATATTTTTAAATTTTGAAAGCGAGTTGTTGAATCGTTTTGTGGATGAATATGCAAAGTTACTTTTGTTTAACACTGTCCACTTTTTTTTGTTTTTAGTTTTAGTTTAGACAAATATATTAAATCAGTTCTTTTAACTTTCATTTTTGAAAAAAAATGAAACTAGTTCTTTCAACTTTCAACCTTGCCAAAAACGCCAGTAAACTGATGTCATATGAAGAAACATGGTCATGAGGCAGGTTGGGCTCGAACCCATGTCCCCTTGGCTAAGAGGCAGGCACCTTAACCCACGGGACCACAGCTGCCCTTTGCTTTTGCTAACGTACATATTATTCAGACTGTACTTTATAAAGTAAATACGTGCAATTTGACATTTGCGTCTTTAGGAAACACTTAGTTACCATACAAATTAGTTTCTTTTCTAAACAGGAGTCAATTGTTTTCTTAAGTAAAAGCTCATAGTCATTTGATTTTCCTTGAGATACTTTTTTATCTTACTTTTAGTTATTACTCTATGATAAGAATAATGGTAGTACAAACTACGTGTATAAAATGATTGTCACTATTTCAGAAGTTACCATTTGTTTAAACTCAACTTTAAAAAAGACTTACCAACTTAACATTAACTTATAGAAAATCGCAAATTCGCTGGTATCAAAAATAGTATATTTCCCATCAATTCTAAATATAGAAACATATGAACTGAAACTAATTGATATTTTACCACGAAGTATTGTAAGTTTATTTTCAACACTTCCTTGATACATCTCATTAACTTTCGTTTTAATAATTGCATGATATGCATGTATCTACCATGTATCATATAGGGCAGTTGCAGTTTGATCATTCTCCTAGTATGGAAAGTGTCTTTGGTGCCATCTATTCTAACGGTAAGATTTAGGAGTCAGACTTGGGTTAAGCTTCTTGGTTTTGAGATAGTAAAAACTTTAAAGGGACATCACTGACTTTCTTGACATAACGGGACTGTAAATATTTTTCTCAGAATTGTGAACCAATATATGTAGGTCTGAACCCATAACTCGTGTGCATATTTTCCGATCTTTCTCGCGTTCTTTTTTTTTAAAAATAATACTTTTTATTGTGCAAAATGACCATAAAAGGAAAAGCGTTGCAACGTTTTTTTTTGTTTTTTTTTTGTTTTTTTGTTTTTTTGCTCAAATTGGGCTAAAAATTGTACTAACTATCGCTTTTAATTCAATCCTGTGTGTATTTCTTTACCAACCTTTGCAGATTTTTCCATTTTGAGAACTTTTACTTGATCAAAATCAAAAAAATCAAATTTTATGTTTTAGCCTTTACTACCTTGGAGGAGTTCCTTTAAGCTGTATGTACATGTTTTTTTCTGTGTGTTTACTACTTATATACAATCTACATAACTGAGTATACCTTGAAGTTATAAGATATGGAACAATATTTTTTTTCTCCTGTTTATATATTTATATGCATACCGAGATAATGAAATAAACTTAGAAACTTTACTTTCCTCACGCAGCGCGATACATTTCAAAATCGAATTTAACGCATTTTAATAGAATATAATGAAAGTAAGTAAGTAACATCAACAATTGGTAATTATATATAAAATACAGTTTAAACAATAGTATATCTGTATGACAGTGTACTCTTGTACTTTACTCTGTACCCCCAAAATCACGCCAGGTTGAGCAATGTCCACCTTTCTACATCTTAACTACAAACCATTTTCTTAACCGTTACCTATATTTGTAATTTTAAACGATACCTTTTTTCTTTTATGTTTTACATCAAAATGTTTGGATTAAAACCTATGTTTTAAACGTTTTTTATTGATAATATATCAAACACAAGAGATTTGGACTATATGCTAGTGCGATAGGTATGTGATTTTTAATGTCTTTATCTGTGCGATTAACATCGATTAAAAATTTTCCACAAAATATATTTTCAATCATAGCTATTTAAACAATATATCTTTTGTAATTATTTAAATGTATGTTCAAATTGAATGTACAATTCAATCATTACATGGTAGTGTCGCCGATATTGTTCACTTTGATTGGTCGATACAGTCAAATATTTAGTATAGAAATAGAATAAGAGGTAAAGAGATGTTACCTGAAACGGCATCCTACATACTATGATACGGCCTACAGCTACATAGTTTAATTGATGCATTATAATATATTTGAGAAAAAAATCAAAAACAAGTCAGCATACAGATTCAGGACTTTATTTATCTAATCTATAAAGCGTTTTAAGCACATGTAACATCATTATTCTTTTAAAAGTTTTTAAAGAGCTCGTGTGTAAAATAAGACATCGTCCGATGATCGTGCTATTACTCAAGCGGAAATGAGCGATTTCCAAAATGCATACCAAATATTTATATTTCTTTTAAAACTATAAAATACAATAATTAATTGTTATATTACAACGTAAATAAATTTTATAGAGCAGTGCTCAAAAAAGTGCTTATTACACGCGTTATTTTTTTTTTTTTTTTATTATTTTTTTTTTTGTTAAACCTGTGACGGGAATTGTTTCCAAATTCACACAAACAATTTATGTAAAGAAAATGTATGTAAATCACCTTGTCATAAGATATCAAGCAAATCCATACTTCAAAAGCATTCCAAGGTCATTTTAAGAAAGGTTTCAGATATGGAGATAATTCCAATGATTAAAAAAGTTACCATTTGATTTGAGTACAACGACTACAATTTGGAAACAATTCAATCGGCCAATGCCTTTAATTTATTGCCAAAACATCATTCATGCCTGCAACAACAGTTTACCGCCAAAACATGCTGTATGCCTGTACAATGGAATATTACGGTACCAAAATCAGCATGCACGCCTGTTAAACAATATATTGTAAAACAGTATGCACGCAAAAAACAGTATGCACGCCTGTTCAACAATAAATTGTAAAACAGTATGCACACCAAAACAATATGAACACCTGTTCAGCAATATATTGTAAAAAAGTATGCACGCCAAAACAGTATGCACACCTGTTCAACAATATATTGTAAAACAGTATGCACGCCAAAACAGTATGCACACCTGTTGACCAATATATATTGTAATATAGTGTTACGCCAAAACAGTATGCGCACCTGTTCAACAATATGTTGTTAAACAGTATGCACGCCAAAATAGTCTACACGCTTGTACAACTATGCAGTTTGAATAGAATTTATTCTGTGATCTATGATCTTGATATTCCGAAATTACTAATAGATAACTTAAAATTCAAAGAACATGGAGCAATTTAACAAAATGAACAGACAAGTGACTGACACACATGTTGTGTTTGTACAGCATGAATATTTCAGTACAGACTTATGAATGCAGTCTTTTTATTGATCTAACTGCTAGCTGCGTAAAAACCTCGCGGTGTTAAGCAATTCCGCCGATATTGTATTATACTGTTCACAGCTTCCTTTGTCGTCTTTGACATCAAACTGTTTGCCTGTCACCGCTGTTGGTTCGAATCCCGCCAGAAACTTTGGATTCTTTCGTGTGAGGAAGCTATCCAGCTTGCTTACGAAACGTCGATGGTTCTACTCAGGTGCCCGTTCAAGCTTGAAATTATGCACGAAGGGGCACCTGAGATCTTCTTCCACCAGTAAAGATTGAAAGTTGTTATATGACTTTTACAGTGTGGGTTCGATGTAAAACCCAACAAAAAAAACAACAACAGGATCTTATTAACCCCCTTAAAATTAGTAATTGACAGATGAAGAGAGGTCAATGAAATCGGAACGCATGAGGTATAGAAAGGCATTGTATAGCAAACTGGAAATAACTGCTAACAGTTTTAATTGTGTGTTTTACACTGGATGAAATCATCCTAAGACTTAGCGAAAACAACAAGATAATTAACCGTTTCAATTAAGTTTTGCTAAGGGTCACACTTGTGTATTAAGAAGTGGGTAAACACTGTAATAAGGACGTTAATCCGCTTTGAACGTTAATTGAAGTACAGTACATTGCACTTATTGAAGTTGTATGTTCTCATACAAAATGTTACTATCAAAGAAAAGATGTTTATTTGATGATGAATATAATTAACTGCTTTGACATGATCGCCGTTGCTTCAGAGATGACGTCATTTCCGTCGAAGGGACCGGCGGCAATTAAAAAATAGAGGTCAATTTAGTATTTTACGTATGTATATTAATATTATTTAGGAGGAAAGAGTTCAGAAAGTATAAAAGAACATGCCGATTGGCTTGCGCATTGACTGAACAAAGTATTTCATTTAAAAAGGCTTTCGCAAACAAATGAATTCACTGAGGGCCAAAAACCTAAAATCAAAATTTGAATTTCTTACATTGATCAACTGGGAGAGAAAGATTTACAAAATTCCAATGAAGAAAAATACTCAGAAATAAATTGAAAATCTATCTTTGCGCTATTCTTAGTCCGATTTGCCTGAAAGGCGTTGTAAAGCTTTTCTGGGTTTTTTCAATGAGAATGAATATTCCGTTAAAACGAAGTGAGAGAATTTTCTGAAGTTATCGGTTCAGACCAACATGAAATGATAAATTAATGTCAAATAACCTTAGTGGAGTCCCTTTAATATGCTTTTTTATCGTATTTATTGTCTTAAATAACATATCCCGCCAGGGACTTTGTATTCTTTCATATGAGAAAGTTGTCCGTCTAGCTTACAGAACGGAACGGCGATGGTACAACTCATGAGTCCTTGACATAATTCATGAGGGGAATCTGAGGTCTTCCTCCACCAGTAAAGCTGTAAACGGTCATATGACCTTTCCAGTGGTATATTATCTTTCCAGTGTTACATGACCTTTCCCGGTGTTATATGACCATTCCAGTTTTATATGACCTTTAGAGTGTTATATGACCTTTCCAGTATTATATGA